CCGGCACCCACAGCTGCTCCATCGGGTTCAGGCCCCGGCCCTCCCTTCCAAGGCACTGCCATCAGCAAAAGGGCTTCCCCATGGGCGCCACCGGGAGCCCATCCCCTGCAGGAAGCCTGGTTTGCACATGACAAACTGTCCTTGACTGGGACGTCAGGGACTGCTTTGGGGACAAGACCTACATCGGGGAATCCCAACAGCCTCAGGGATGCGTGGGGCTGACCCCAGGGCCCGGGGTCTCAGGACCAGGTGCTCGGGGTTCTCGCACTTCCGCCCCGGCGGTGAAGTGAGCACGCAGAGCCAGCTCGGACCGGAATGCTGCAGGAGTCCACGGCCTGCAGGTTCCTGGGTGCCAACTCCCACTGCACCCAAAATACGTTAATTTCGAGGCTTTGACTTGGGATGGTTGCAATGGGCTCGAAGGGCGAAGCTCTCTGCCACCCTTCCAACGATAGCACTGCCGGTGTCCCCGCACATGGCGCACAAGCACACGTGTGCACATGCAGGGCGCCTAGCACAGTGATGGGGTGCACGCCATCAGTGTGCGCCATTTGCATAAGTAGATGCAGCCTCCGGCTTCGCTGTCCTTGGGGACCGAGCTCTCCACCCTGAACACTAAGACCAGGGCCCGCAGCAGCAGCAACGGCGCCACCGTTCCCTTTGGCGCTGAGAGCCGCCCTCGACAGCTCCTTTCTGGGGTGGGGGGTTCTGGCAGAGAAGGGGGGGCAGCCAGTGGGAAGCTGGCTCCTGAAGCCCCCAGCTTACCACCTGCCTGCCTCCATCACAGGCTGCAAACAGGGCCCCTCTGGGGCCGGAGCTGTCCACACACAGGCTGCCCTTGGTCACCGCACCGGTGGTCAGGCCTCTTCCTCTGTCCCAGAGCAAGCCTCTGGGTGCCCCAGGGTCTGGGCTCTCTGGGAGGTGGTTAAGGAGGGGCGTGCAGGGCTTACAGGGGCTGGCGGCCCTGGACGTGGGTCTACGTCCTGTTTGGGAAAGGGATGTGTTTCTTAGGGTCCGGAGGCCATTGTCCTGTAGGACGTGTCCTGAGCTTGTTTTCTGGGGACATGAGAGAGCCCGGGTACAAGGATGGGGGAGGCCGGAGCAGCAGCACCTCAGGCGAGGAGAGACCAGGACCTTCTCCCAGACTCAGTGTCCATGCCCGAGAGGAGGGGGGCTGAGCCTGCCTTGCCCCAGAGAAGAAGGGACCGACCCTGGCCTTGCTCCAGAGGGATGGACCCCATGCTCGCTCCCTCTGCTGAGCCGGGTAAGGAAACTGAAGCACAGGGCCAGCCTGCAAGTCTGTGAGGGCACGCGCCATCTCCAGCTGTCAGGCCACCCAGGGTCCCGTGTGGCTGGGTGCCCTGCTACACTGCGGGGAGGCGTCCTTGCGTCTGTGTCTAGCCACCATGACCCTGTGCACTGTGCAGCCCCGCACCAGCCTCGCCGCCTCTCCTGTGCCTGAGCCCCCGTGTCCGTCCACCTTGTCCAGGGCCTCCCTCTCTTTCACGGCCCCTCCACGCTACCAAGCACGATGTCCTTCTCCAGGGACTGGTCTCCCCTGACCACATCCGAAGCAAGTGTTGCCATCCTTGCCTCTACGGAGCACTCTGGCCGTACTTCTTCCAAGACAGATTTGCTTGTCCTTTGAGCGTCTGAGTGCTTTCAATGTTCTTCTCCAGTGTGGTATGAAGACCTCCCTGCCATTGAGTGGACGCTGACTCCCAGACCCGGGGGTTCTCCCTCGGAGCGACTGGTGGTGCTGGACTGCTGACCATGAAGATCACAGCCCCATGCATGACCTCGCAGGCTCTTAGCACTGTGAGAGTGTGTTCAGAGTACTGATGAAAGGGACGGTCCCTTGAGAGGGTGTCCCCCGGGCTCACCCACGTTCTCCGGCGTTTCCCACATGCACGTCGCTTGTCAGCGCCATGTGGACCCCTAGCACGCAGCCCAGTCTCACTGCCCATTCCCCCAGGGGTGGGGTTTCAGGCTCCCCAGCCTTGCTGCTTGCCTGCCCATGACTGAGACACGTGCTGGGGCTCGGCCTGCTCTGGATGCTCAGCGAGTGGGCGGAGGGTGGACAGCTTGTGAGTGCACGCTAGTGAAAAGCCAAGAGGGTTTTTAAGCACAAAACAGGAAGAAGGAAGGTCCCTGCTGAGGGATGGGGACAGGGGTGGAAGCACGGTGTCCGGGTGGAGTAATGGTTATGCACTGGGCTGCTAACCGCCAGGTCGGTAGTCTGAAACCACCAGCCGCTCTGAGGAGGACCGGTGAGGCTGTCTGGGACCATGAAGAGTGACCGTCTGGAATCCCACAGGCCGTGGCACTCGGTCCGATAGACAGGGTCTCTGTGGGTCGGCACAGACACGATGGCTTGGCTGATTCTGGTTTGAGGGAGGCAGGGGACATCAGGAACCGGGATGACAAAGAAGGCACAAATAAAGCCAAGTGATGGCCCTCTCTTTCAGGTGTGCGGGGGAAGATGAGAAGGATTGGCCAGCACTCAGACACCTGAGGCCACTGGAAGTGAGTGACCTTCCCTCCAGAGTAATATCAATGAAACCACCCCAAGCAGCTGCAGCTGCCGAGCTCGGGGCCAGCCAAGCAGCCCTGGCTGGGGGGTAAAGGGGCGGGGGGCGGTGTCTTAGCAAGACAGATGCCCCACACCCCAATCCCTGGGGTCCTTGGAAGGATGCTGGAGAGACTACCATACACGTGTACCCTGAGCACATCAACAGAGAGACCCGCCCCTAGAACATGACACAGCAGCTGGCAAAGTGAGGGCGGTGAGACCGCGGACACCCTCAGGGAGGAGGGACGGTGGCAAAGGACCGCACTGCGCCTTGTCCTGCTGAGCCTGGGGTCAGCCTGGCTCTCAGCCAGCTCGGGTGACTGAGGTCTATTCTGGTCGGTGGCCTCCTGTCCTGTCAGGAGTCCTGGGACCACCACCTCTGCCCCTTTGTCCCAGGACTCTCTAAGCTGGCTCATACAGGGGGACTTGTGTCTGTAGACAGTGTCGCGTGCGGTGGGGCACCAAGCCGGGGCCTGGCCAAGCTTACCGTTCAGCCACTTGGAGTTGTACTGGGCGGTGCGCAGCGGGGGCAGGGTGCCCAGGCTGCGGTAGATGGCGGGGTCTCGGCCCGGGAAGTCCATGGCGGTGGCGGCGTACAGCTCCCCGCTGGCCGTCAGCAGAGCCGTGGAGTTGTGCTGGGGGCTGTAGGGGCAGCGGGCCATGCCGCTGATGTGCTCGTGGATCTCAGACAGGTTGCTCAGCTGCAGACATGGCCGGGGGGCAAGGCCGTCAGCCCCCCGCCCACCAGGGATATGATGGGGGCAAGGCCATCAACCCCCTGCCCACGCCAGCACCGCAGACCAGCGACGGATGGCAGGGACTTGGTCAGGGGCCCAGCATGCGCCCACCTCTCTCTCTCAGAATCTGCGTCCTTCCTGGAGTGAGGGTGAGTGCCTGACTCTATCTCACGCCATCTTCTATCCTCTGTGTGTCTGTCTTTCTCAGACCCTGTCTCTCTCCCCCGTGTCTCTCTCTCTCCCCCGTGTCCGCTCCACCTCTGCATGCTGCCCATCAGACTCACACAGACTATGCAGAGGACCAGTGCGACAACAGTGCCCCCCGAGGGTCCCCTACCTCGAGAAGGACCCCCCCACCTGCCTGCACAAGGGGACCACAATCCCCAGGGCAGGTTCCTGGGCTTCGGACAAGGGTGCGGGGCATCCACTCGATGGCAGTGGGCACGTTGGCTCTGATGTGGTCTGTGGCATGGAGTCAGTTCTGACCCAGACCCTGTGTGACAGCACAGGGATGCCCCAGGGGGCGAGCCCCCTGAGATTCCTGGTCTGTGACACCCCCCTTTGAGATTCCTGGGCTGTGAGCCCCCTGGGATTCCTGGGCCATGACCCGTGTGGCAGAGCAGGGCTGCCCTGGGGGTGGGGGGGGGAGTCCTGGGCCGTGACCCTGTGGGACAGAGCAGGGCTTCCCCAGGGGTTTCTGGGCCATGACCCCGGCGTCCTGCTCCAAGATCTGTGCCAGAGCAGATCTGCATGTCCTCTCCGCACAGCATGGCTGGGGGGTTTGAACTGCCCACCCTCCAGCTGGCAGAGGGCACCTAGCTGCTGAGTCGATTCACCACTTCTACTAGCTGGGTGTCCACGTGGACTAGATGGCAGTGAGTGTGGTTTCTTTGTCTGTGGCACACACACACACACACACACACACACACACACACACACAGTGCACGCTGACCGAGAACCACGGGGTGGAGAGGTGGGAGATGTGCGCACCCAGCACCGTGGCCTCTCTGTCTGTTGGCATCATTCCGCCTGTCCCCTTGTCCGATTCTGAGAGCACTGGCCATTTTGTGCCCAGTGTCAGCCCAGCCATAGAGTCAAACAAAGAACACGGGTGATCTGTGCCCAGCGACGGGGTCGCTCCTGGACAGACAGATGCCAGTGAACACAGCCGAGAAAGCCTTCTCTTGGCAAGTGAAGCTCACACGCACTGCCGTGGGGGGCGATGCCGACTCCAGGACCGAAAGGACAGAGCAGAGCTTCCCCCGTGGGTCCCCGAGACCGCCACGCCCCATGAGAGAAGAGAGCCTCCTCTGTCTCCCACAGAGCGCCCAGTGGGTTTGAACCACTGACCCTGTGGGGACTACAGAACCAAGGCTTCTTGTCCAGGAGGGGGATTCTGAACAAAAGAGCGACTTCCTGACCAGTAAGGCCCCACACCCACGGCCTACTACTCAGAGGGACCCTGAAGGTTGGCGAGAGCCACCCCTGTGGATTCTTAGGGTGTGACTGTTTACAAGAGGAGCCTGCAGCCTCTTTCTCCAAGGAGCGGAAGGTGGGTGTGAACCGCTGACCGACCACTTGGGCCCTCGTCGGCCTGGCTGAGGATGCTGGCATGGCCCGTGGGAGCCGGGGGACCTACCGTGCGGTTGGTGCAGAGGGGCGTGAAGGCGTTGGTCCCGCAGGTGAAGAGCCGGTCCCCGCCCACCAGCAGCACGCGTACGTAGTTTTGACACTCCTCCTGGGGACACAGGACCCGCCATCAGCAAAGGGGGAGGGGCATTCTACCCAGTGGGGATGGAGACCTGAGACAGAAATGCTCTCGGGTCTGATGGCTAGACAAGGAGCCTGTCCTGCGTGCTCACTCAATCCTCTCCAAAAGATGGCCCTCAGAGACCTCTGAGAGGAAAGACCCCCTGGGGGCAGAGCATAGGCCAGCCCTGCCCCGGTGGCCACATCCTGGGACCATCCGTCCCGCCACGGTCGGACCTCCCTCCCTTGGGGCCCAAACTGCAGATGAGGACGTAGAGTCAGGCAGCCGGCACTGCTCGTGTACACAAGAAGGCAGTCAGTCTTTCTTCCGGGTCTGTCCCGGCCCAGTCCCTCCCCAGGGACCTGTGAAGCACAGAGCAGCGTGCGAACCTCTGTGGACAGGCGGAGGTGGGCTGGCCCCCAGAGTGGAGGAGGAGAGCCTAGTCCCCCGGCCACCGCAGGCCCTTCATGTTGTGTGGACCAGTCAGCAAGCTGAGTGCCGCCTGAGAACTCCCGCTCTCCCTCCCCTTCCCTCAGGACCCCCCTGCCCATGCCAGCCTTACCGTGGACTTGCCCCTGCTGTAGCAGGCCCTCTTGGTGGGCTCGTCACACCCCCACTCCACGGCCTGTGAGGAACAGGGACGGCAGACAGACGTCAGGCTGTGAGGGGAAGGGGCGGGGGGTACTCACAAAGCAACCAAACCCCCTGCCATCAGGTCAGTGCTGACTCACAGAGACCCTGGAGTGGAGGGTCAAGCTGCCCCTGTGAGCCTCCCAAGCTGTACCTCTCGACCGACGAGAGCCCTGTCTCTCTCCCGCAAAGCGGCTGGTGGTTTCGAACTGCCGACCTTGAAGTGAGCAGCCCAGCGCGTAACCACTGTGCACGCCACCAGGGCTTCTTTTAAGGTGATCCCCATGTGATCTTTAGGCATGTCGTCAGCTCAGGTACCCTGGTGGTGCAGTGGTCACACACTGGGTTGCTATCTGCAAGGTCATTAGTTCAAAACCACTAGGTGCTCTGCAGGGGAAAGGGGCTTTCTGATCACACACGGTCGCACTCTTGAGAACCCACAGGAGCAGATGCACCCTGTCCGACAGGGTCACTGTGAGCCGGTGTGGGCTCGATGGCAGTGGGTTTATCAGCTCCTGACCAGTCACTCACTGGCTTGATGCAGGGTGGGCCCGTGGGTGCTGGCTCTGCCTGTCCAGCTTCCTGGGCCCTGGGGTGTGAATAAGACCACAGCACTAGCTGATGGCTAGAAAGCGATAGCCAGACCTTTCTCCCTGGTCTAACTCAGTCTGGAAGCTGCCCTGACACCAACTCAGCCTTGCCACGGTGTCGCAGCCCCCACTGGCAGATGGGTGGTGGCGGCAGTCAGTCCGGGCCTCCAAGTGGGCAGGGAGAGCCCACCAGGCTCCACCAGAGCCCCGCAATTCAGACCGAGTGAGTGCCCGAGAGGAATGCAGGCATGTCGGTGTCTGCAGCCAGCGGGGTCCAGCCTGCAGCGCCCAGGGCAACCTCACCAGGGCCTTGGGCAGTGGTCTGGGCGTCCATGCAAACCTTCAACTGCCCAAGTCTCACGTCTGCCCATCGGCCTGTTAGAGAATGCAGGCAAGAAGGCAGACCCCGGCTAACACGTAGCTTAGGAGAGGAAGGTGTGGACTCCCTAACCCAGTCCACCTCCCAGTGACCCCAGGGGACAGGGCACCACTGCCTGGCTTGTCTCTGCACAGGAAGGGGGTCTGCTAGCACAGCAGCAATGCTCACGGGTTCAAACCCACAGGCCGCTCACAGGACGACTTGGAGCAGTCCGCTTCCTAGCAGCAGGAGGCTTGGGAGCCCCGGGGGCAGAGCGGAGCAGTCTGTGGGCCACTGTGAGTCGGAGTTGATTAGACGGTGATGGAAGCATGGACTAGAAACTGAAGAGTGTCAACGAGAAGAGGGACGGGCAAAAGGCCTTGGCACACCCACGGCAAAGACGTACCACAGCCCTCGCCCACCACGCTCACGTGCAGGGACAAAACAGAGCAGAAGCCCCTGGACCAGGACATGACATGTGGACGTCCATGTGGCAGAGCCTTCCGCAAGGAGCAGGCAGGGAGCCCAGGCGGGAACACAATGTGGGCAGTGGTAAACTGGACAAGGAGCTGATCTGTGCATGCACCGTCACCAGAGAAGAAAATCCAACTGAAAGCCTGGCCGATGCCGTGAACAGTCCACCGAAGAAGACATCCAGGTGGCCGGCAGACGTGGGAGGAAAGCCCGCAGTCGCTGGCCGTGCCAGAGACGCAAAGCCAAGCCGGGGCAGCCCCTCACCTACACCGAGAGCAGAAAACCACCGAGGCTGGAGCGCATGTGGGGCGCAGACTCCGGCACAGCGCTGCTGTGACTTACAACTGTGCTGCCCGGCGGATGGCGCTCACCCCTGCAACTGGGAATAGAAAGGCCGTGCACGCAGCAATCCCTCTGCCGGGCGTACACCCTACAGAGGTCAGAGTCGTGGCGTGGACAGACAGACAGCCTGAGGCACACCCCTCTTCATCACAGAGCTGCCCAGAACAAGCACCCAACGTGGGCGGCTCTGTGGAACTGAAATAGAGGGTCCACGTCCGGTGCCCAGGTCCCAGCACTGCAACGCCCTGTGAGGCTCCAAGGAGAGCTGTCCCTGCCCCCACCCCTCACCCCCTCCAAGTTCCAGGGACCCCTGGCCATCCCTTGGCCCGGGAAATGGAACAAAACTCCGCCCCGCTCTGCGCCAGCCTCACACGCGTTCTTGCGCCGGTGCCCATTGTTGCAGCCACGGTGCCAATCTGTCCCTAGAAGGGCTTCTCTTTGTCACTGCCCCACACTTCACCAAGCACGGCGTCCTCCTCCAGTGACTGGTCTCTCCTGACCACACGTCCAAAGTATGGAAGGTGAAATGGAATACTATGCACCCTAAGAAACGTTGGAACTGAAGACGCCACAACGCGGAGGGATGTGGAGAACATGATGTGAGCAGTCTGTCAGCGACGGAAATGTCCAGTGAGAAACTGACAAAACCTTACACAGCAAGACAGGGGCGCAGACTTCGATGGCTGCAGCGCGGTGGGGAGGAAAGGGAGGCAGCAGGCCTGAGGGTGGCGGATATTCCTCAGAGAGAGGAGAGATGCAGGGTTCAGGGCGCGGGGTGGACAGAGCAAGCTGTTTTGAGATTTAGCACATTTTTAAAAATGATGATCTGAAATGTAAACCTGCCACTTAACCATCAAGAGATATTTTTGTTTGTTTGTTTGTTTGTTTGTTTGCTTTTGAAAGCAGGACCATGGACGTCTAATCTTTCTGAATTGCCACCAGCTCCCCCTCCTGCTGCTGCAGAGCCTCTGGGAGGGGCTGAACTGCCAGCCTCTGATCAACAGCGTGCGCCACCGCTCACCACCATGCTCTGGCCACCATTTCCAAGACTTCTCAGACTTGCCAACTGGTCCCAAGGCTCAGACACAAAGTGGGTGGTGAATAATTGGGGTGAACAGGGAGCCCCTGCAGAGAAAGAAATGCCACTGTCTTCTGAGTCGGGCATGAACCTCTGGCAGCTCCCGGCCAAGGGTTGTCTGCTGCAACCATTGGTGGATGATCTTCAGCATTGACTCGTGGGCACTATCAATGATCCTGCTCTGTAACTGGAGCACTGCTTTTCTTTGGACAGGGTCCTTACACGGATCTGGTCCCGTCAGCTGGTCAGGATTCCCTGGCATGGGCGAGTGCATGCTTTATGGGCCTGAGGGAACATTCCAGGGGGTATTCCATGAATTCCTAACGCTTCCAGTGCAGCCTGAAAATCTCCGCTTGGCACCATTGTTCTTGTCCGCGTGCTGCCTCATGGAGTGGTGGGTGCTGGCCTGTGCTTTCTGGTGCAGACGCTGTGCATTCTCGCCATCTTCATTGGATGCTTCCTGCACTTCCCAATGTTTGGCCTACAGCATCTTCCCATAATGCGCCTCAGGGTGTCCATTTCCCTGGGTTCTTTCGGTGTCCGCCAGGCTGGCCGTGCTCTGCCCTTGGGTTTCCATGTCGAGGTCCCTGCACATTTCGCTGTAGTATTTGTCCACCTTCTCGAGCTGCCCCTTGGAAATTTCTATTCAGCTCTTTGACCTCACCCTTTCTTCCCTATGTGTTCGCTAGGCCACGACTTAGAGCAAGGTTCAGAGTCTTGTCTGACATCCAATTCGATCTTTTTTCTTTCCTGTCTTTTTCAGCTTTCTTCATGAACGATGGTCTTAATGTCCTCCCGCAGTGCCATGAGTTACACACTGTTCCCAGCAGAGCCACCACTCTTGCCACCGATGCCGGCACCACAGACCGAAACTCACGGCCCCAGCTTACAGCCAACCTCCAGCCCTCCAGCATGTCCTCGTCCGCCGGGCCCTGCCCGCTCGCCGGCTCGTTCTTGACAAGAACACAGCACTCAGGGCACACAAGAGTTGTCAGCTGCCAGAAGAGTTAGGGATGAGAGTTTGAAGTTAGTTCAGGGCCATCGTTTGGGGGTTCACCCACCCTAGGTGGCTCCAGAAAGCCTGGCTCTTCAGAAAATCCATCTGCACTCTTTCCCCAGAGCTCCTCTGTCACCCTCTCATTGCCACACCTTTGAAATAAGTCCCACTCCTCATGCGAGAGGCCATTTCTAAGCCGGGCTTCAGAGTCTGCTTCACAGCACTTCTGCCCAAACCTCCCCTCCCTTCCCGCCTCATCCCGAGTCACCACACCCCTGTGGGACAGAGAGAGCAGCCCCACGGAGCTGCTAGGGTCATGGATCTTTCTGGAAGCACACAGTCTCAGCTTTTACCATGGAGTCAGTAGTGGGCTCACACTGCCAGGGCCCGGAAGGTACCTCTCACCCACCAAAACGTCTCTTAATGACACTCAAACTAAGTGCTTAAGGTACTCACTCTATTCCTGAGTCTCTTGTCTATATGTTTACCTTTCCTAATCTATTAAAGCCCTGCAGATTTAAAACCATCTGAAACCAACCCACTGGTGTGAATTTATTCCAACCCACAGACCCATCTCTCTCCGCATGGACTCGACTCAGAGGCACATCGACCCTACAGGACAGACAAGATCTGCTCCCGTGGGATCCCCAGACTGCCGCTCTTGACAGGAACAGAAAGCCTCACCTTCCTCCCTGGTGGCTGGTGATGTCGAACTGCTAACCTTGTGGTTTGCAGCCTGAATTTTACCCCGTTACACCACCTGGAGACCCTGCAGGACAGAGTCAAGCTGCCCCACAGGATTCCAAGGCCGTGATTTTCAGGGCTGCATCCCCTCGCCACACTTGTTCAATCCGCAGGCTGAGCGAATCATCAGAGAAGCTGGGTGACACAGAGAAGGCCTCTCCTCAGGACGGGGAGGTTTGTGAGCCGCCTGCAGATGCAGATGGCAGCCTTGCTTGCTGAAGTGGGGAGGCCTTGAAGCCCTTGCCGATGACGACCGAGGACTGCAGCCTTCAGTGTGGATGACAGCTCAGTGTCAAGAAGATCAAAACCCTCACAGCCGGACCAGACAGGTCACCTCATGATCAATGAGGAAAAGACTGAAGTTGTCGAGGATTCTGTCTGGCTTGGATCCACCGTCAGTGTTCATGGGAGC